CTTGGAAGAGTAAGCTTTGGCACAAAAAGCCAAAGCTATAACAAGTATACAGCAATTGCTGCATTACTTTAAGATAATGTATTTTTACGTCTGCTCCCTGGTAGGCTATTTGTTCACTGAGAGAAGGGGCTCTGTCACAGTCAACAATCCAGAAGCCAGGATGTTGCCTGGCACGAAGATCTTCAATAAATACTGCTAAATTGAATGTGGCTGAGGAATAAAACCTAACAAGAGAACATACGAGCTTTGCCTTTGTTTCCGCATTCTGGCTCCTGAATAACGCCAGGCTCCTCAGCGAGCCCACCAGATCCCACCTCGGGAAACCAAGAGGCCTGTGCAGGGTGCAGATTGAACTATGGAGTCAACAACAGGGTAAGACCCAGGCAGGATCCAAGAGGCTAACTTTCTTGGTGAATTCTTAGTTTCTCCACTTTATAGAAACTCACAGGGCCGGCCGAGTGGCGCAATGGTTGGGAGCTGGCTTGGGACGCCGGAGGGCCCCGGTTCGGATCCCACGTGTGGGGGCCGGTGACGCTGCCCTCCACAGCTAAGATGCTGAACGGCAGCTCAACCTGGAGCTGGGCAGCCGCGGGTCACCGGCGACGGCGTAGGCTGCAGCCCCTGTGGCAGTGGGTTGCCGTGGGCTGCCGTGTGTGGCCGGCGGCCGGCGTGAGCGGCCAGCGGCCGCGGTGGACGGCCGTCCAGAGGCCGGCGACTGGTCTGCCTCGCCCGGGAGGAGCGCGGTGATGGTGCCAACTTGGGCCGGTGGGGCGGCGTCCTCCACGACTAGACTGAGGAGCAGGACGACAGCAACTTGTCTGTTCCCCTTCCCCCAGTTCCCCAGCACTGTTCCCATCCCCCCAATTCTCCAAAAAAACTTAAAAAAAAAAAAAAAAAGAAACTCACAGCGATCAGTTCCTGGATCTTTTGGCTAAAGCTAAGTCAGAACAACACCATATGCTGGACTAGAGCCTGCTTAGTCCAGGGAGCAGCACACAGCCACCAAAGGCAGTCCAGGCCATGAACTCTCAGTGTCTGATTCATCACAAGAGACAAAATGTCAGCAACTCTGACTGTTGCCAAACCAGCTCTGAACAACTCACAGATGCATTAGTCATCCTATTCTATGTTTTACTGTACTGCGAGCACATTCTTTAAAAAAAAAAAAAGAAAACATATCAAAGCCTTAATATTTTCATTGGACTTGGGAATGACTCATCTCACTGCATTTATTTTAAATAGGCTTTAAACCACTGATGTATGTTGGGCTTTTTCATGTCACTTTTTGAGAGGGCATTATAAGTTTTCATTAAATGCACTGTATTATATATTTTCTGGCAATATTACAATCTTATTTTTCAATTTCAATAAAATAATTTTCCTGTTTCATAACCTTGAGGAAAAATACTCCACATGTGGTACTGTAAAACAGAGCGAGTTCATGCGTTTCCCAAATGCAAGCTATTTAATAGCCTCGATTTGGTAATTAGAGAGATTTATATTCCTCTCCTCATCTCCCACAATATTCCGAGCTGATCTGTCCAGTTGACTTAGAGACTGACTTAGAGGTCTGCACATTCATCATCTTTGACAATAAGCTGTTAGATGGGGTTAATGATTTAAGACTCATGTATGTTTGGGAATGGGAGAAAAAGGTTTAAAACTAATTTATAGGAATATAATCCACTGGTTATTTTCAGGTTTCATCAAAAAATATTTTAGAGGATGTCTCAATACTAATTGATTGCATTAAAGTGACAAAATGTAGTGTTCTTGCTTTACTAAGAAGAGAAGAAATTCATGCCTCTTCTTTTAGGTTCAGACTTTTAGTATAACCTGACAGTTTATCATTTATTAAGGAATTAATATAATCTTCAGTTATTCAGAAGATCAGTGTACTATGGATGTAGCTGATAATCCAAGTCAAATAATATCATCCATATCAATATGTTGTACAGTTTTTACTATCACATAGAACTATAGCGATGATGGTTACTCTTCTCAATATCTCTTAATATAGTTCAACTACAAAAATTAATCTATTTTTATCTCCTTCATGAACCACTGGGATATAAAACGGCTAATAATTCCATATTATATAAATAACATATAACATGTACCTTTTAAAAACTATGTATATAATATGAATTTTTAAAAATCTGGTTACTCTGGTTATTTCAATGTTTTTTGTTTTGTGTTTTAAATAAAGAAGGTTGATCTAAAACAAAATTACCAGAAGTGCCTAATACAACTTTAGCAAAATTATCCTATTGAATTATAGTGCTGTTGTCACACACTATTTGTAGAATTTTATATCAATATTTTAGCTAACACCGTACATTGTTTAATTGTAACCTAAATTAAATAAATTTCCCTTTATTTTACATGCTAATTCTATATTACATAGATATCAATATAAATATATATTTTTAAATATCTAGTTTGGAAATATTTTCAGAAAACAAACACATTAAATTAACTTTACTTCTAATCATACATGCATTTCCCAATATTTGTGACTAGCATTTAATTTATAAAAAATATTTTGGAGCCCTTGTCCTATTATTAATGATTATAAAGCTAGTATGCATACTAACATTACAATAATAATATTAAGAATATAAAATTTAATTTGCCATTAAACCAATTAAAATATATATATATACATAATATATATATATAATATATATATATATATACATAATATATATACATCATATATATATAATGATTAAAGTAATACTTTTGGGATTCACAGCCTTTCTGTGCACATACATTCAATCCATGTACTATGCTATAAGCTAAAGGCTCTGTGCAGTTTCTTTTCTTCTGCTCTCAGAGATACTGTGGGGAATAAAAACAGCACACGGAGAGACTGCAACATCAGGTAGGAAGGTCCCAGTCAATAAACAACTCCAAGCGTTTAAGGCAGGCATAGGAGAGGCAGCTTCTCTTAATAAAAACAGCTTTACTTCCAAACATTAGTGCTCCAGTTTTTCACATGAGAGAAAGTAAATGAGAGACGCACTTTCTGAGAACATTCAGTCATAGCACTCTGAGAGGCAGGAAAAGAAAAAACCGAAATCAAGAGAAAATGAACATAAATTTTAGGTCACTGCTAAATTAATATTTTCTCTATGATTTTCCTTTACCAATTACTTTCGCACTTCACATCTAAGTATTTGGGCGAAATGCTTTGAAAACCTTGCCTTTCCATTGATGCTCCATTAGCAGAAGTGAACTCCACTGTATCAGGGTCTAAGCTATTTTAATACAAGGAAGAGGTTGTGGGGCTCCTGTACCCCAAAATTAATCACTGTGATTTTATTCTTAAGTCACGTCTGAAACACTTTTCCCACAATGCCCCCTTGATTTCTGCTTCCTCAGAAGTCTAAAGCTCTGCGACATGTGAAGTTAGTATCTATGACACTTGTAGCTCTACCATTAGCTTTCCCTACAGAGTGTGAACCTAAAGACTTGTTCTTTATTCAACCCATATGAAATTGCCTCAGAGGACTAAATAGCACCCCCCCCCACACACACACACCCCTCTGATCTTGGGTCCCTGTTCATCTGCATGACATCATATTCTTTTACTGATGTCAATCATATATTATATATGGGGAGATAAATGTAAGAAATGACAAGTTGTATTTCTTTACTGACCCAGGAGCCAGATATTATGGATATTTTTTTCTTTTGGTATAGTCTCCTGGAATCCTAGTTTTTTTTATTACCCACATCAGATGTTGCTAAGAACGAATACTGAGATTCTGTTTTGCATATCTTGGCATTCCTCAAATTACTAAAATCTGTAGTCAATAAGCCTCTCAATTATTTCTTCTCTTTCCTGCATCTTCAACCCTTTACCTTTCCCCCAGCTCTTACCCCAACCAAATAAACATTTTGTCTCCTATCTGAAAAAGATAGGCGCCTTTCTCCTCTTCATCTTCGCAGCCAAAGCATTTGAAATGTAGTTTGCACAGTGTATTTCCATTTCTTCACATGTAAATCACTCTAGAAGGCACAGTAAATAATCCAGGACTGTCTAGTTTCAGCACTAAAAATCCCAAGACCCAGGAAAACCCTCAATCCTAGACAAACTGGGACAGTTGGTCACTCTCAATCCCTCCTCCTCCCATAATCTCCACCTCCAAACACTTCAAATGCTGATAGTTAAACCTTCTATCTTTAATTAATTCAATCCTATTTTCACAGTCTCCTAGTTCAAATCTCATCTCCCTCACCTATAGTACTAGCCTCCACAATGAGACGGATTCCCTTATCCTAGGATCAATCTTTCTATAAGGCAAATCTGATTATGTTACTCTCCAAGACAGTATAAAACTTCAATCAGATACTTCAGGATCCTGTCCTTGTCCATCTTATATTCTTTCCTGTCATTTCTTCCTTCCCCCTTAGCTCTATTCATACATATCATTGTTCGTAGATAGAATACACCATTGTAGCCTCACACCTCATGGCTTTGTACAAGCACTACCCTTTCCTGGAAGCCACCCTTCTTGAGAGTACCTGCCATATTCCATTTACACTCCAAATCTCAGCTCAAGCAAGCCATTCACACCCTTCCAAGCAGATGAGGGTTCTCCTTCTTGCTTTCCCCCTGTACCTTGTATATCCTTCCATTTTAACATACACCTCATTGCATTAAAATAATCTTTCTTTCTTCTTCTTTACCTAACTACACGTAAAAAGCAGCACTGTGAGTTTCCCTCTCATACCTGCTGCACCAGCAGAGTTTCAATAAATAATTGAATTCATGTTGAATGAAGCAACTGCATTATTTTTATAGTCCTTACATTTAGGAGGCAGGGTAGATAAGAGTACATTAACAGGATCTTGTAAATAGAAACTCACTACCATTCTTTTACCCTACCTGCCCTGCACAATTACTTTATGAGTTCTATCCGGTCCCTGAAGAGTAACTAAGAGTGTCTAGGCTTATTAAAACTCAGAAAAACTGTTAACGATATGCTTACTGTTCTTGCATCCCATACAGACAGGGACTTATCTGCAGAACCTGTGAGAAGAGTGTTGGAGTAAGGGAAAAACTCAATGCTGTTCACGGAGTCTGTATGTCCATACAAAGTACATCTGCATCTTTCACTGTGGAGAGAGTAAGAGTTAAAGTTTTAGGAGTTAGTGCCTAAGTGTTTCTTATGCTGTCTATACAATGATAATAAACATGCTTTAAATATCTAAGGCATAAAGTAGTTTTATAAATGGCAAAAATGCACAAGAACATTTTAAAAGAAAAGTTTCTATGACTACCTTTTATTTTAAGCACTTTATAAAGTTAGTAGCATAAAAAAGATTAAACTGAAATCACCCTTAATTTATAAAGTCATTTGGTAAAGCCATCTTTATATTATGTCATTAATTCCTTTTCATGAATGACTTTATCAGAATTGTTCCTACCTAATAAGAGAATATGCTAAGAAAACATTTCACTAATGCGTTAAGATTCCACAAGCTTCTTTAAGTTATTCTGTTTGTTTGTTTGTTTCTCTCAGTTTTGGGAGCGTATTAGAATCACCGGTGATAAGATAACATGCAGCCCACACATAGCCTCAAGCTCCAGACACTCCATCTCAATTGGTCTGAGACGGAGCCCGAGCATTAGTGTGAATTAACATCTCCTCTTGGTGATTATAATTTGCCTTTAGGGATGAGAATCTAAACCAGCGATTCTAAAAGCGTTTCAGCCAGACCAGCAGCATCAGCATCACTTGGGAACACATCAAAATGTAAATTCTTAAGACTTATCCTAGGATGAAGGAAACGTGCAGAGTGAGGGGAGCGAGTTGGACAAAGCGGAAACCACATCAAACAAGGCAGTGGGAAGAAGAGGGAGACACCCCAATCTATGGATAAAAGGCCAGGGCCCCAGAGACGCTGGGCTGATACCCACCGAGGGTCGGCCCACTCCACGCTTGGAGTGCACCTACTCTCACTAATAAACTTTGCTCCCTGCCCTTCACCTAACTCGAGTCTCTTGACTGAATTCCTTCTTTCAAGAAGACAAGAACCAAGGGAAAAATCATTGTTCCTGGTGACATAACAGATGAGCCAACGTAAGTACATTGCTGATAACCAGTTAGTTAAGCTCTGATCAGTATAGCACTTTTTGTCTGAATTATTGATAATTTTAGTTAGGTAATTTCTTATGCACTGTACGTTCTTCCGTGGAATTTGATTTACATTCATGTGTTCTTCAATTTTTGCAATTCTTCATAAGTTCTGGCTCCTTTTTATTATGATTTATCTTTGTATGGGGACAGCTATTTGCTAAAGATTGGTTGCAAAAGGAGAGAAACTGAAACTAGGTTCTAATTTCTAACCATATTTGTTGTCTTCTGCAGAGTCATCTCACCAACTGTGTTACTGACTTGATCCCTGAAGTAGTCTCTCCTTCATTTTTGTGTTTTTAAAGTTTGGAAGCAGCTTGTTGTAAAACCCCTTGAGCCACTGGCTCTGTAATAGCTGTAAATGCCCCTGACTCCCTTACCACCCTCCACCTGCCTCACATCTGGCAAGCTTCTTTATCTTCTTACCTAACAATAAAGTCCTGTTAGGATTTATGCTTTTAACCATGATATAGTAACCAGTATCGTACTTCTCCTCCTACCATAAACAACGATATATATATATATATATATATATATATATATATATATACACACAAATTACATAAGGCTACCGTTTTCTGGCATTGAGCTAAACACAGTGCAGTGTGGTAATCCTTGGGTGAAGGGAAAACTCAACATGAGCTCGGACTGCCTTGTCTTTTGGCTTGGAAGCACTGCCCTGCTATCGGCTGCAGTGGTGGAACCCCAGCAGACTAAAGTCTCACTGAGCCAAGGGATGGTGAGAATTTGGGCCCCTGGTATGCCTGGAATTTGCAGTGCAGCAAGCGTCCCTGAGAAAAGCAAGCTGCACTGGGAATGGCAGCATTTACATGGAGACTCACTCTGAATGGTTGGTTAAGGTCTAGACGGCATTTCTACAGAATACGATTCCATAAGACCCAGAAGAGGTTTCCTGCTCTGCGACTGAGAGCTGAATGGCGATACCAGAGACCAGGCATGCGGTAAGGTATCGGACTTTAATCCCACCCAGGGTGGAGAGAATGCACTGAGTACCTCAGACTTTCAGCTGAGGCTGAAGAAAGGCCCCACCGTAGGAGTAAGGGTCAAGTTTATGAATTAAGTTCAAAACCAAAGTAAACTTGTCTTATCAAAGAATAAAACAAAGTCTAGCGGGCAAAAATAATTTGCCTATAATTAAACTGCTAAAACAGAATTCGTTACCTTTTATAGAAAGTCCACCTAATACAGACTCCCTACAATTTGCCCTCAACAATATCCACCATATAATTTTTTAAATAATTACTACACGTTAAGAGGTAGAAAATGTGAGCTGTGTGTGCATGTGTGCATGTGCGCATTTATATCAGTGAATAATTGAATATCTATAGTGATCCTATTCCTTCATCAAATACGTTTCCCATTCATGCCCGGGTCAAATTGCATCCATCTTCTCAGATGGACAGAGAACCTTTCATATTTGGAATAGTTATTCCATTAACATATATTCTGCTTTCTAAAGACATGCAATGCATAGCTGATGGAAGGTGTTTTATATTTAATTAAAAGGAAATATAAAGAAAAGGAAAAATGTAGGTACAAATCCACTAAAGATTTAACAAAAACAAGTAAAAGAAAATAAAAGCAGTAAAGATAATTCCATTAAAGAAAGAAAGATATATGTGAACAGCATCAAGAAAATATTAAAGTATGGTTAATATTTCTAGCCTCCTGTGAGCTATTATTCAAATATAGTTCCACCTGTGGCAAAATTAAGCATTACTATTTGTAAGTAATTGATTAATGGGGACTTGTATAAGGCTGTATTTATTAAACAGACTAAACCTGAATAGGATTTTTATTATTTTTTAATTGAAGCATTTCAACCTATAAAGAATTATGCTCTTACCTTAAAAAAAGTTTTTACATACAGAGTGTGCCAGTAAACTAAAAAAGTCTCCTATGTACAAAATTTGATAGTATTTTTAAAGCAAATGCAACAGTATTATATCTGTTTCATCACAATGAAAATCTAGATAATACAAATACACAGCAAATGCATAATTTAGTAATATGTGTCCTTACATATTTTATGCACCATTGGTAAAATACAGTGCACATTCACAATTTATATTCAGGCTTTGTCTGTTGTCATGAAAACCCAATTCAATTATTTGGGAGTATATTCATTTATGGTGGTAGAGTAGAGGGAGCAATTTCTCAGTGATAGATTAAAACTCACATCACTTCCCAAATGAAAAGGAAAAGATGAGACTTCGTATAGCTTAAAGGAAGAAAGAACTGCCCAAGGGGAAAGAAATCTGCTCAGGAGTCAGGGGCTTAAGGCGTGGGGCATTCCAGGCAGACAAGCTGCAAGAGCAGGCTTGTGGGAGATTAATTAGCTGCCAGAGAAGAAAGTCCCATTCAGAATTCCTTTGCAAGGTGAAAATGGACTAAAGTGATGGAGCATGACAGCACCATAAGGAATGGAAATGATTTGTACATTTCCATCAAAAACATGAACACTGAAGCCTAATGCAATTTTCTCTCTGTTGCCCTGTCTGCTGTTTTCCTATCATTTTTTTGTAGGGAGTAGTTCATAAGCAATAGCTCTTTCTTAACTCATCTCTTGCTTTTCCTTTATTTCTCTTTGTCTCCTCCATTGTCTTTCCTTGCCCCCCTTGATTTAATTTATTATTCTAGAAACTGAATGATGGATATGTCTCCGAACTTTCAATTTGCTGTAAAACAAAGCTATCTATTCCTCTAGAGCAGCTACATTTTCATTTAAAATGTATTTCCCATACATATGTTAACGCAAAGAGGACACCGTTTTAACACACACTTTTTCTTTGTGAGGCATTCAGTTTTATGAATTTTTATTGATTGATTGATTGATTGATTGATTGATTGGTGTATTTGTTTTAATACTATTAATATTGGACATAAAATTGTACTTTAAAAACTTCAGGCTTGTATGACTTTACAGATCAACAAAATGAGGTAAATGGAATTCTGGAACACTTACAAAAAGGCGGCAGCAGCAAGATTTTAAAAAATAAATATGAAGAAAGCGGCCAAAAATATTTATCCTTGTTTTGAAAAACCAAATTGCAATTCATTATCTTATTAACCCTTAGTAAGACCCGGATTTTAAATAGTATTTATATAATTTATATAGTCAACATACAATGATAAAATTTATTCTGGGGTTTATCTGAAATTAAAAATAAACAAAAATTCTTTATGAAATACCTAACTCTAAGAAACTAACATAAACAAATGAAACCAACTTAAATCCTTACACTGCTCATAACATCCAAGTTCAGTAAGGGATCCTTCCCATCTCTTGGTTTTTTTTCAAAGTGTATATACAGGCTATTTTCAAAACTCACTAGAATTTTCATCTCAGCAGGCAAAGTACTCAAGTGACGGCCACATTATGACTTCAAAATCTATTAAAATGTTAATAATAAAAGTCTTTTGTTTAACATTACCACAAATAATATAAAATCCTTCAACATGCAATTTCTTTTCTTTCTTTCTTTCTTTTTTTGGTGGGGACCATGGAATTCAGTTGAACATTAAGTGGAGGAAGTGATATTTAAATGACACCTACCAGGGAGTCAGCCACAAGTGTTATCTTTAAATTCACCATAATCTATTACGAAATAAGAATCTAGGATGTGGTCTGTCTACCTAGGAAAGATCATGAATAGGTCACAGCTCCTGGACAAGTGAAGTTCTTGGCCAAAACCCTTGATAATAAACATACAGTCTGAGCATTACCCCCAAATGGTCAGAAAACTCTGCATATGTAAAGAGCGGATTCCTGGAAACCTCAAATACCTGGAGTGCAGTCAAGACGATGGGAATAAAAGCAAAAGGTAAGTAAATAAAATAACTGCACCAGAGCTGAGGACTCATTCAGCGCACTTTCAAGCCTTCACTCATTAAATAGTCCACTGAATTGTTTTTGTGAAGGGTGTGGGCGCAGGGAGGGGTTAAGAGGCTGGAGTA